CTATGCTGCTATCAGTACCATGCTGCTAACAGTACCATGGTGCTAACAGTACCAAGGTGCTAACAGTACCAAGGTGCTAACGGTACCATGGTGCTAACAGTACCATGTTGCTAACAGTACCATGTTGCTAACAGTACCATGGTGCTAACAGTACCATGCTGCTAACCATACCATGGTGCTAACAGTACCAAGGTGCTAACGGTACCATGCTGTTAACAGTACCATGGTGCTAACAGTACCATGATGCTAACAGTACCATAGTGCTAACAGTACCATGGTGCTAACAGTATCATGCTGCTAACTGGACCATGTTGCTAAGATAACCTCACTGCCAACAGAACCACTCTGCTAATGGGATCATGCTGCTGTAGATGTATTTTTCTTTTTCAATTTTGGTGCCTTGTTTCTGTATTTTTGTTGCATGCTTTGGTATTTCTTGTTGTTTTTTTTGGCAAGTCAAGACGGTTCTTCTCGTCCTGAGCATCTCATTGTATTGTTGACCTTGTGTTGATCCACATATGACAAAAGACCTAAACCTAACCTAATTTTTGGAATCGTAAATGAGCTAAAACAGGAAAGCTTTAGTCAGAATAAATGCCAGACAGTGAAACAAAATAGTTGTCTTTTCTATACAGTGTATGTAAACATCTGGTTTCAACTTGCACACACATCACATGTTCCAGCCAATTCACTCGTGTGTGCAAACTAATTATAGACATGTCACTCGTTGTGACTGTCACCATTATGTTCTACTGTAGTTATGTTTGCCCTGCTCAGACACAAGCAAACAAAAGTACTTAGCGATGGCTACTCTCTTTCTGTTTTTTGCTCCAACATGGTGTGATCACTTCCTGATCATGACAGGCTGATGGTTTTATGAAGGTGCGCAGCGTGCAGCTGGGGTTTGCAGAGTCTGAATCAGAAAAATGATGTTAAAGTTGAATCAATCTTAAAGTCATGCAGTCAAAGAAGTGAATTATTTGGTTTTAGGAAGAAAGCAGCAGTGAGATACGCTCACGCACAGCGTCTTGTGTCCTTCCTGAATGGGGGACAGGGGTCCGGAGCGTGAGTTCAGGCTTGGGTCGGATCCTCTAAGCGAGCCTGGGGCAGAGCCTGAATTGTCCAGAAAGGAGCCTCCATCCTGAAAGTCCTCCCTCTGAAGGCATCTGATGGTGGAGGGCTCGATAGGCTCCTCCACTGAGGAGGTCCAAGTCCCTTCTGTTTGTTGATCTCCTCCTCCTTCTTCCTGATCCCGTTCCTCTTCTTCTATACCAGGGACACGATGGAGCTTGGCCCGGGTCTCCTCAACACCTGGACAGAGCGCGTCCTCAAGCTGCAGACTCTGGGCCTGTCTTGCAAGTGGGACCCGGTTCTGCTCGGCGTCTTGCAACAACACGGTGGGCTCTGTCTGAGTGGACATGTCCACTGTTGGTTTGTTTTGGATCTCCATGGACATTGGACCTCCTACATGGCCATTAGTATTGTTCACCATGTTGTCTGCCCGTTTGCTAGAAACAGTGCAAAGGTTGGGGACGACACAGAGGGTCATACAAACAGATTATGAACACAACCACAGATCTGAACAATCAACTGAGAACACCACCACATGCTCGGTTTAGCTCCTGACATAGACCTTGCACTGGTTTTCTTCTGTAGTTTAACATGAACTACAGTAGAATTTTTAAACTAAATTATATGCAACAGCTAAAACTGGATAAACAAATACAAAGTTGGTACAAAACCCCTAAAAATATAAATACCCCGTTTATTTTCAAATTATACGGTTAAAATAGGAAGATATGTTGTAATGTGACCATATTAGCCAAGTTTTGTTTCTATGCAATATGATTGTGCGTCCCATTTGTGGCTAGAAACCATAATTTATGTATTTAAAATATAAATTAATCACCTGTAATGCCCCCTTAAAGTCAGAATATCTGTTGGGAAAGTGAGAGATTCCTAACAAAAACATCAATCTATCCATTTTCTTCTGCTTGTCCAAGGTTGGGTCGATACTTCAGCTCCACTACTTGAGGTTAAGACTTGCGCCCAACTTACGAAGCATTTCCCTTCAGGTGGTGAACCATTCACAGTGAGAGAAAATAGTCAGCTTTGAGTAGCAGTCTCAGTTAATTCTGAATATTTGCCACTGACCCATCAGCAAGTCGAGGACCACATTTTGCAAAGCCAGTTTTTACAAGTCAGTCCATTTTTTTGAGTACAGCTTGCCAAACTTGGCACATCATCTTGGTGTCTGGTGTCCTCCCTTGGCTCACATCTTACCCACCCTATCCTGAAGCTTTGCCTCAAAACACCTGCACTGATTCCAAGGATCATGTGTATGTACGTATATGCTGACTGCAGGAGTTGGAGGAAAAAAAGAAGAAGCTAAATCTAAGTAATCAATAAGTGTAGTGTGGGTGCATCTACAAACATTTAAGAGCACCACAGGCTTGTTATTACTCAACTGGCAGCAGTAAAATGCCACTATGATCTTTTTTTCTTCCATTTATCCAGGGAGGCAAGCCTTTAGCCCAGGGGTGCCCAACCTTTTTTGAACCAAGAGCTACTTTTGAAGTCGGCAATTTGCCGAGAGCTACTCGTCCAGTCTCATTATCAACAAACATAATTTTTCATCAATCCCTACTCCTCACTTCTTTAAAGTAAATAAAACAGAACGTGATGTGTCTATAGGAGACAACTTTTTATGCAAGCTGTATAAAATAAATGTGTCTCTACCTTAGTGGGACTTCTGACACTGAGAGGAGGAGGCCAGGGTCTCATAAGCTGGGCAGTATGAGGTGGTTGCAAGGCGCAGGCAGGTCTCCAGATGATCATCATTCATTGTGGATCTGTTTTTGGACTTGATGATTTTCATGTGTGAAAAAGCAGACTCACACAGGTAGGTAGATCCAAAAAGTGCTGTTAAGTTCAAAGCACATCTTCGGATGTTAGGATACTTTTCTTCTGACAGCAGACTCCAGAACTCTCCATCCACGCCAGGTGATGCTCTGGATTTGATCCCAATGTCATTTTGCAGAGTGCAACAAATCCACTGGTGTGACCAGTCATTGCTGGAGCGCCATCAGTTGTTATAGAAATTAGTTTAAAGAGGGGCAAGTTGCTTTTATTAACAAACTCCATAAACGCATTAAAAATATCTTCTCCTCTTGTGTGTCCCTTCAAAGGCAAGATGGTGAGCAGCTCCTCTTTTGCACTCATGTCTGCAAAGGCCATTCTGATAAAAACACACAGCTGGGCTACATCCACCATGTCTGTCGACTCATCAAACTGAAGAGAGAAACACTCGCATTGTTCCACGTCCTTTTTTAGCTGTTCTTTCACATCCACAGCCATTCCCTCACATCGCCGTGTCACTGTTTGTCTGGACAACTGCACGTCTTTAATAGCAGCTACGATCTCACTTTTATTTTTAAAATCATGAAAAAGCGCATCTGCAGCCTCAATAAACGCTTCTTTCATAACTTGTCCATCGCTGAAAGACTTCTTATGTTGAGCCAGGATGCGGCTAACATGGTAGGAAGCTATCGTAGCAGCTTTACCTTTTGTGCTGGGGCGAGTGAAGACTGACTGCTGGGCTGCAAGCTTGTTTTTTAGCTCCCGCACTTTCTGAGTCCGTAAAGAACTTTTAAGAGGGAAATCTGTCTCAAACCGTTTGTGCATCGTCTTGAAATGCCGCTCCAAGTTACACTTTTTGGGTAAGGCAACGCTCGAATTACAGATGAGGCAAATGGACTTCGAATTAGAATAAACAAAAAAATACTCCTCCTCCCACTCTGTGTGAAAATAATAAGTTTTCGTTTGCTTGTTCGCTAGTTTTCCATCCATGTTTTCTGCGCACCGACATTACTCCACGACTGAGCCTAAAGTCTCGTGAGAGCACTGTGTCACCGCACCCAAAACTCGCGAGACTATGTCTGTGAGAATACAAGTCAAGGTTTCGCTTCGCGGGAGACTGGGAACCAGCTCGCGGGCGACTGGTTGGGCACACCTGCTTTAGCCCATGCTGAAGTGATCCGCTCCTGGACAGGAGCATACACCCGTTGATACACCTTTCAAACGGTAACACAGGTGTCAGAAGGAGAGCTCAGGCAGAAAACCACCTGTGGAGTTGAAGGGAAGCTCTGCATCACGGCTAAGCGATTATTGTTATTTTCACAAACCCTTGGATGTAGATTTTATTTTGCAAGTTCAAAATGAACAAATGGAACTATATGGAATATACTATATTCTATACATATACTACATATTGTATGAACATAATATTTCCATATAGGAGCAAAAAAATAAACAGGTGAAAATTCATGAAAAATACTTCTGTACCTCCATCTAGGATTAAAAAAAAAGAAGAGTTTCACCTGGGTTCCAAATATCTGTGCTAATTTGTTGACTACCTAAGACCTAAGGGACACGGATGCATGCCCTGGGATGGCCCCTCTGGCTCGTAGGGGAGTCCGTCTCAAGTGAAGTAGTTCAAGTATCTGGGTATCTTGTTCCTGAGTGTTGGTAGGATAGAGAAGGAGCTGGTCGATGAATTGGGGCCTTATCGTCAGTAATGAGGGCGTTGCTTTGGTCGGTCTTGGTGAAAAAATAGCTGCGTAGAAAAGCAAAGCTTCTAATTTACTGATCTGTCTACGTTCCAACCCTCACCTGTGGTCATGAGGTTTGGCTCATGACTGAAAGAACCAGATCCTGGATACAAGCAGCTGAAATGAGCTTCCTTTGTAAGGTGGTTAGACACTGTGAGCTCGGAGTAGAGTCGCTGCTTCTCCGCATTGAAAGGAGTCAGTTGAGGTGTCATCTGACTATGATGGACCCCTCCCTTTAGAGGTGTTTTGAGCATGTCCCACTGGTAAGAGGCCCTGGGGCAGACCCAAAACTGGCTGGAGGGACTTTGTATCTTCTTTGGTCTGGGAACACCACAGCTTTCCCCAGGAGAAACTGGAAAGTATAGCTGGGGTGAGGGAGGTCTGGGTTTTTCTCCTGGACCTGTTGCCTCCACGACCTGACTACGGATAAGTGGTAGAAGATAGAGATAGAGATGAGATGCATGTCCCTGCCACTCTCACAGGAAGGTTGAAGACACTTGTCTCCAGAATTTTTGGACACACTCACAAATGGCAACCGCAGTTTGGAGCAGCGTAGTGAGATACTGGCTTCACCGCTTGAAGACGGCAACAACTGACCCTGATCAACCCACGCTTCAAAGTCCAATTTGGCTGCCTCACGTAGGAAAAGCTGTGACAGCTGCAGTAACAACCCTTACATTCTCATCTCTTTCAGTTTGCAACATCATAAGAGTTGGTGTTCTGCAATATTTGACACTATTTCATATTTTAGAAATTACTTTATACTGAAGTCAAACTGTAGCATTTGAAAATATTCAGGGGGATTTGTACTTTTAGAGGTTTTTGCACATTACCATGATAGTGGATTTTACTGTAGCTCTGTTGTGATGACTGTAATGTAAAGCACCTAGTAGAGGGTGCAGGGTGGCGAATCCCATCACTGGCTGGGACCTTTTTGCTCTGGGTGCAACCATCTGAGCAACACACTTGGTTCAGCATATGTGCAGCACTCGGGTTCACTGAAAAGAACAAAAAGCTTTATTTTTTCCAAGTAATTGCTGATTAAGTCTAGAAAAATAACTACGGGGTATTTTTCTATAAACAACAGACAAGAACTTGATAGCATATGTGATCTAAGCCAGTGCATCATCTGTCAGTTTTGCTACACAAGGTCTTTTAATGGTCGGCACTCACCTGCTATCAGCTGCTGCTTCAGTAACGGGAGGAGCTGATCATGGATGTGAATCCTACGTAGGGCAGCAGCCAGGGAGGCTTTCAGCAGCGTGATCTCATCCTCCTGTGCCTGCAGACGCACCTCCATCATGGAGGCCCGGTCAGGAAAATCAGCACTGCCGTCTGCCGACACGTCATCTGTAAATAAACCAGAAGAATCCAGGAAAAACAAAGTTGAAGGGACCTCATCATGAAACATCAAAACAAACAGCCTGGATCAACCTCCAGCTTTGACTCGCATATGAACACGCCTGTCTGTGGTGTGTTACATGCACACACATGACCAAACTTTCGTTAGCTACCTTTTAATTCAATTCCAAAATACTTTATTAACCCCATAGGGAAATTAAATGTAACTCGTTATCCTTGTTTCATTAAGAGATGTTATAGATATTGATGGCTGTAGGCAGGAAGGATCTCTTGTAAAGGTCCGTCCCATAGCAGATCTGAAGAAACTGGTCACAGATGCCGTCCGATCGGTCCGCCCAGACTTGGTTCCCCTGGGCTGCAGGACCGCTCGAATGCTGGGCTGAACTCTTTTCAGAGCAATGGTCACTCCTCCTAGCAGCCTGTCGAGCTCCTCGTCACTTCAGACAGCCGGCTGTATGTGCCAGGGGATGATCCCGGTCCTTCTTCTGTCACGATCAATGTTTTCTGCCTTATCAGGATCTCAATGGTCAGGCACTCGAGCACAGCCGACAGGGAGACGGGAATGCATCTACGGTCCCTCCTTTTCAACTCATTTGAGATTTGGGCTGTAGCTGTGTTATTTTTTGAGCTTTTGAGATGTTAATCAGCAGCTCCCGGTTGTAAAAACCACCTTGTTGTTATGGTAACACATCATAACAAATGTCCAAAACTAAAAAAGTTTGAGTAAAAATCCTTCCAGATGCAAAGAATCTGATACAAGAAGAAATAATCATCCTAAAAATGTGATTTACATCCAGAAAAAGAGGAATTAAAGTTGCCAAAAGAAAAATCTCAGAATGAAAGCAACAGAGCTGCTCCAACATGCAGCCACCCTGAGCGGAGCAATTCTAGAACGTACATACAATTAATGGGGTTTACTGCAGTAAAATTATAAGCATTTTAGTTTAATTGCCTTTGAGCTACATTAGGATTATGCAGAAGCATTTACAAGATTGAACTTCCTTTTTCAAGACCTCTGCAACTCCTCCTGGCCTGCTGTCAGTCAACATCTGGACCAAGTCCTCATTTTGCGTAAATAATAAGTTTGGCAGAATATGATTGATTCTCATACCTACTGTGGATTACCATATCGCTGTTTATAAAGCACTGCAAAAACAACAAGGCTGACAAACGTGCTGTGAAATAAAAACAAGTGGTGTGCCAACGTCACCCAGCAACTGAGGGATTAGAAAAGTGAATGTTTGTAGTTTTTGAAATTAGTAATTTCTGGACTTAAATTGAACAGAGAACACAAGTAAACAATGTTTTGCTGAAAGATAAGCAAGTAGGTAGGAGTTACACTGTCGAGAAGAAGAGGGGTATCTTGTTGTTGTTCTTTTTCTTGTTCGAGGCAGTGCAGTGACAGATCCTGGTGAGTGGAGGGAGCAATTTTATCCACCAGCAGGTGCAATGATGGATCCAGAGTGGGGCCAATGGTGGCTTTGGCCATTATAGATTAATCTTTGGCCACCCAAACCATTTGAGGAAACTATGCATTGAAGCAATATAAAAACTAGAAAGCGTAGTTTCCTCAAATGATTGGGGTGGCCGTTTTACATATATGGTGGGGGCCATCTGTGATGACCCCGTGTCTGTGGTCGGGGACTTCAATGAATGCTGTGAGTCTTCCATAAAGGCTGTTTCTATTCTATTCTTTTCAAGTTAAATGATTCTAAGATGAAGGAGATGGTCATTGATTTCAGAACAGACTCTTCAGTTGCAGCTCCTGTGGTCAGTAACAGTGAGGCTGTTGAGGTAGTGCAATAATATAAACATCTGGGAACTGTTCTTATCATAAAGTGACCTTTGACCCCATGTGAACTCACTTTGTAAGAAGGCTCATCAGAGAATGTATTTTTCTCAGAAGCTCTATGGTTTTAATGTTGATTTGACTTTTATGAGAATGTTTTATTCATGTTTTATTGAGTCTCTTAACTTTTACTTTCATCTGTTGGTTTGGACTTTAGACATGAAAAAACAGGAACAAACTCTCGCAGATTGTCAGGATGTGCAGCAAAACTGCTGGTATAGACCTAAAGAGCCTCACTGACCTACAGAACCTCACCGACCTACAGAACCTCACCGACCTACAGAACCTCACCGACCTACAGAACCTCACCGACCTACAGAACCTCACCGACCTACAGAACCTCACCGACCTACAGAACCTCACTGACCTACAGAACCTCACTGACCTACACAAGGTGAGGTCAGTGAACAAGGCCAGGCTGATTCTGGCAGATCCTGATCATCACTCTATGGTGAGTTCAGGTTGCTTTCATTTGGTATCTGCTGCCCACATGTAGAACAAACAGACTGAAAACTCATTCATCCCTGTAGAGATCAGGTTTCTCAACGAACACTGATGGTTTCTGTTATTTTAACGTCTCAGAGTGTCTATTCCGGATGTTCTATATCTACTGACTGTGAAACAAATCGCCCCTCGGGGATAATAAAGATTCTTGGACTTGAACATCTTGGATTTTGAATTGACAACTGTATTTTTGATAGTGACCTTTCTTACACATCGAGCCACACACCAATATGGAAGTTGGTACCTCACTTATTTTTGAAGTTATTATGCTCACAGCATGCATGGACGGACGGACAAACAAACAAATGAACGAGTAGAGTGTCATGGTTTGCGGTTAGGAGCGAACCCAGAGTGCAGAACAGGGACTCAACTCGGCAGATATACAAAAAAATGATTTTAATGGTAAATAAAAGTACAAAATAAACAGGCTGACGGAGCAGCAAAACTTACATGAACAAGGCACGGGGAACTCAGGAGACACGAGAGACACGGGGAACTCAGGAGACACGAGAGACACGGGGAACTCGAGGGACCAGGAAGACTCAGGGAAAGACTCAGGGCAAGACTCAGGAGACCCAAGGGAGAGTACCAACAAAGACGACCCGACAAAGAACAAGACAGAATAGGACAGCTTAAATACTGGGAGAAGACGAGACATGATGACAAACAGCTGGGACGAGACACAGGTGGCAACAATGGAAACTAATGAGGAAGCACGAGGGAAACAGACACAAACCGGGCCACAGAAAAGTACCATCCTTACATAGAGGGAATTTCCAACTCACCCTCTTTGCTCGGGGACTGGGGACAAACAGCTAGGACGTTGCATTTTTCAAAATAAAATAAAAACACACTTGACTATGTTCTCATGTTTACTTTTCTAATGTACAGTTTTAAGCTGTAATGTGTTATTTCCTGTTTTAAAAAAGCTCATGTAACAATATGACTGTGAGGAAAAAGACCTTAGTGCACAAAGTATGGTTCCAAAAATACAACATATGTATTATATGTAATTATATGTATTATTATGTAGAAACTATTCCTGCTGGCTGTGCCTCCCAACAAGAGAAGACGGGGACACAGTATAATATTAGGTTTATTTATCCTGCAGCCAACACATGACTGTAGACCTTTAGGTGCAGAAACATTAGGTTTTTACCTGTAAAGCAGGTGGTCTATAACTTTAAAATGCACAACCAGAATGCCCTCATATTAGTGAGACAGAGAAGTAATTCTGCTGGCTGTAAAACCATTTATCATCCTGAAATGTGAAACCACAGAACATAAGGAGGTCTGTTCCCATGACTGTAAACTTCAGAGCTGACAGAGGTTGATTTTATTTTCACAGAACTGTGGAAGCTGCTCTGTCCATGTCTCTTGTTGATTTTTCTCAGTAGGAATAGTTTTTATGAGAAGGTCTAGCTGCAAACAAGGGGAGAATCTCCACTGGAAATAGGATCTGTACCATTTTGTGTTATGTACTACTGTACCTTTGAAATGCTTTTTTTTTTTTTTTTAAAGAATATATTTATTGGATTTTTTCCATATATGAAATATAGAGAACATACATTCAAACAAACATTGAATACTCTCCACCCACAATTAACACTCAGGGTATAAAAACCAAAAAAAAATTTTTTAAAAAGCTAGAGAAAGGAAAAAAGTACAAATGCATACAATTAAATACATGTATACATATACAGATAAAATAAAGTTTTAATCATCCAACTCTTATGCCTAGATAAAGTATCACTCTTGTATATAAATACTGGTTATATGAATTAGTATTAATCTTATTGGGTGCTGCTCTTTTATTTTGTTCCATTCCGTTCATTCATTTCAGCTTGGTTACTTTCCAAAAATTGCATGAAGGTGTCCCATATTGCCTTAAATTTACTGGTCTTTCCTCTAACCATATATGTTAATTTCTCCAAAGCAAGGCAGGAAGCCATTTCCCATAGCCACATTGCAGTTGTAAGACTGTCCATACTTTTCCATCTCAAAGAGATTACTCTTCTGGCTTGCAGCATACACAAGTCGATCAAAGGTGCTGTTTTGTGGCTTGATACAACTTTGTCTCAAGAAGAATCTCTACAGCAGCTATATGTGAGATCAGATCAACTGCGTGACTCCAAAATATCTGAATTTTGGGGCATTCCCACATGCAGTGCACCAAAGTGCCAATATTAACATTACATTTAGGACAGTTATCAAGAATGTCAGTGTTAAACTTATTACATTTCACAGGTGTACTATATATCCTGAACAGCCATGTATACTGTACAGTTTTAATGCGTAATAGTCTGCATTTGTGCTTTTAAGAAAACATTTTCCCACTCAGCCTGAGTAATATCTTCTTGTAGATTTTGAAATGCTTTTTACTACAAAGTAAAACTGGTCCTTAGTTGTTCTTATGAGAGCACAGTGAGAGTTTTACACACTCGGCAGTGTATCACAGGTGCACGTCACAGCGGTCCGAGCTGGTTTATTATCATACAGGAATTCCAAAAAACCTCATCGCTGAGAGAATACTTCCTCCATTTTCAAAATAGACCGGCTGGTTTTGCAGCAGTGCTGATGATGACATACCTCTCACAGTGAACCAGTCAAACAAACACACATCCTCAGAGGCCGC